GGCCTCCAGTGTGTGACCTGAGTCTCTAGTGTGAGAGCTGGGTCTCCAGTATGAGAGCTGAGCCTCCAGTGTGTGAGCTGGGCCTCCAGTGTGAGAGCTGGGCCTCCAGTGTGAGAATTGAGCTTCTAGTGTGTGAGCTGGGCCTCCAGTGTGAGAGCTGGGCCTCCAGTGTGAGAATTGAGCTTCTAGTGTGTGAGCAGGGCCACCAGTGCGAGAGCTGGGCCACCAGTGTGAGAGCTGGGCCACCAGTGTGAGAGCTGGGCCACCAGTGTGAGAGCTGGGCCTCCAGTGGGAGAGCTGGGCCTCCAGTGTGAGAGCTGGGCCTCCAGTGGGAGATCTGGGCCTCCAGTGTGAGAGCTGGGCCTCCAGTGTGAGAGCTGGGCCTCCAGTGTGAGAGCTGTGCCTCCTGGTCACACACTGGAGGCACAGGTCACTTTTCCATATAACATGCTGTTATATGGGAAAGCCAGTGCTGAGCATGCTTTTATATGGCCAGTCAGAATTATTCCGAACATGCTGATATGTGGGTTATGGTGATGCTGACCATGATGTTATTTGCGCAAAACTATGCTGAACTTGCTGTTAAGTGGGCAGTTAATGTGATGCTGAACATGTTGTCAAGTGGGCAGTATGATGCTGTATATGCTGTTATGGGCAGAGTGATGCTCAAAATGTTAAGTGGGTAGAGTGATGCTGAATATGTTGGTATGTGGGCAGAGTGATGCTGAACACGCTGTTATGTGGGCAATTAGTGATGCTGAACATGATTTTATGTGGACAGTCGGTGTTGTTGAACATGCTGTTATGTGGGCCTTCAGATTAATGATGAACAGGCGTTTATGTGGGCAGAATGATGCTGAACATGATTTTATATGGACAGTCAGTGATGCTGCACATGCTGTTATCTGGAAAGTTGTGATGCTGAACAGTAGGTGTAATGAAGGTAGGGCGAAGAGGTAGAACGGCCTGTTATAAATAGGAGTAAGTTCTATGGGGGATCTAGTATTAATTTAGAGTAGGGTCAGTAGTTAGCATTAAGAGGTATCAAGTATGGGAGATCTAAAAGGCTCGGCCCCCAATAAACATACAAAAGTAAACTTATAGTGGCTTATTACTGCAATTGTCAGCCTAGAGGTAGATCATAGATCTCCTACACAGGAAGAATGGATACTCCTTTAAACTAACTTACTTATTTATTAACCCCTTAACAACCCCCCATATACATTCACACCAATAACAATAATTACTTTACCACACTATTTTACGTTAAAAGCCTTGGTCCACATAGGCAGGATACAAGGTTTACACGGAGAACAAGCTAGGGTAAAGTACTACTAGTGAAGAACTTGAAGCTTGAGTCAGCTTAGGGTAGGGAGGCCACGTGGTTCCACTGGGACTCCCTTAGAATAACTAGGAATATAAACACTAGAAACACCTAATTCATACAAAGTATAATACTCTACACATTGGAACACGCCTATGCCAGACAATGAGGACACAATACAGTATACTTATCTTGGTAAACTAGACACAGAAATAGAGAAGCAAGAGGAAGAGGAGGAGGTTCTTTTCACCACAACGCCAGCTCAGAGAAGGCCGCATCCAGCGTCCCATCCAGAGCTCCGGAGTTGTGGTGCCGGGAAGAGCCTAATTGATCGTGCAGCTATACACATTAAAAATCTTCACCGATGTACAATATTGTTTACCTTACTCGTTCTAAGGATAGTTAATAATTACTACAATGTTATACTTAATCCACAACAAGCTCAAGAGTCTGAATGCTTTGTGAGCAACAAGATTCATCCTACGTTTGGCAAGGAAGATACGAACAAATACACGTCGGCAAGCGTGTCAAATATATGGTAATTTATTTAGCTCAGTTTGACCTCTGGTTTCCAATTGAGGAACCCAGGGTCGTAACACGGCCTATTGACATAGCTCGAGTGCTTGGAGGGAGTTGTGTAAAATCCTGGTTTGTGTCTCGGAGAGGCTGCAGGGTTCAAGTAAATTCAGTAGAATTTCTGGTTGCAATTCTTATACCATGTCGTAGCTCAATCGATTAAGGCAGTGTCTGGGATGCTCTCAGACGTAGGTTCGAATCCTCCTCACGGCCCTTGTGGATTTGTTCATTTGATACATCACGCTATTGTGATTTCTGTGTGTAATGGGCAGTCAGTGATGTTGAACATGCTGGAATGGGTGAAGAGTGATGCTGAACATGCTGTTATATAATCATTCGGAATTATGCTCAATGTGATATTTAGTGGGCAGTCAAAGTGATGCTGAACATGCTGGAATGGGTGAAGAGTGATGCTGAATATGCTGTTATGCATGATGTCAGTCAGAATTATGCTCAACATTATTTTTAGTGGTGAATCAGAGTAATGCTGAACATGCTGTTATAAGGCTAGATCGATGCTGAACATGCTGTTATAAGGCTAGAACGATCCTGAACATGTTGGTTTGTTGGCCGTTAGAGATATGCTGAACATGCTGCTATGTGAGCAGTTAGAGTGATGCTAATCATGCTGTTATGTGGGCAGAGTGATGCTGAAAATACTGCCATGTGGGCGTTCAGAGTTATGCTGGAAATTCTGTTATACAAATAGTGATGCTGAAAAGTCTGTTACGCGGGGAAAGTGATGCTGATCATGTTGTTAGTTAGGCAGAGTTTTGCAGAACATGCTGTTTTGTGGGCATTCAGAGTAATGGTGAACATGCTGTTATGGTGGCAGAATGATGCTGAGCTTCTTGTTGTGTGTAGAGTGACGCTAAACATGCAGTTATGTGAGCTGAGTGATGCTGAAGATGCTAGTATGTGGCAGTCAGTGATGCTGAACATGCGACTGTGTGGGGCAGAGGGATGCTGAATATGTTTTTTCGTGAGCAGTCGGTGATGCTAAACAAGATGTTATGTGGACAGAGTGATGCTGAATATGCTGTCATGTGGACAGAGTCATGCAGAACATGCTGTCATGTGGACAGAGTCATGCAGAACATGCTGTCATGTGGACAGAGTCATGCAGAACATGCTGTCATGTGGGCAGAGTCATGCAGAACATGCTGTCATGTGGACAGAGTCATGCAGAACATGCTGTCATGTGGACAGAGTCATGCAGAACATGCTGTCATGTGGACAGAGTCATGCAGAACATGCTGTCATGTGGGCAGAGTCATGCAGAACATGCTGTCATGTGGACAGAGTCATGCAGAACATGCTGTCATGTGGACAGAGTCATGCAGAACATGCTGTCATGTGGGCAGAGTCATGCAGAACATGCTGTCATGTGGACAGAGTCATGCAGAACATGCTGTCATGTGGACAAAGTCATGCAGAACATGCTGTCATATGGACAGAGTCATGCAGAACATGCTGTCATGTGGACAGAGTCATGCAGAACATGCTGTCATGGGCAGAGTGCAGACAGAGTCATGCAGAACATGCTGTCATATGGACAGAGTCATGCAGAACATGCTGTCATATGGACAGAGTCATGCAGAACATGCTGTCATGTGGACAGAGTCATGCAGAACATGCTGTCATGTGGACAGAGTCATGCAGAACATGCTGTCATGTGGGCAGAGTCATGCAGAACATGCTGTCATGTGGGCAGAGTCATGCAGAACATGCTGTCATGTGGGCAGGGTCATGCAGAACATGCTGTCATGTGGACAGAGTCATGCAGAACATGCTGTCTTGTGGACAGAATCATGCAGAACATGCTGTCATATGGACAACTGGAACAATTTAATGAATGTGTTAATGTCAACAGTCACATAAAACTGACCCTCCGCCCAAAACCATCACGTTATTTTGATGAAAAAGGATAAAAAAGATAATCAGGTAAATATATGTATTACCACAGGAATATGACACAGCGGCATCGTTCTCTGCTGTTCATGGTATTTGCTTCTCATAGTCACCATCTTCCAGAACCTCTCCTATCCATAACAACACGTTCGTCTTGCAGGAACATGCAATCAGTGAATATTGTATTTTAAATTAGAAAATTAATGTTTGCACTACAATTATTTATTTATTTATTTATTTATTTATTTATTTATGCATATACAAGAATGTACATAAGGAATGTGAGGATACAATTATGGTAATTACAGTCTTGTAAAGCCACTAGCACGCGCAGCGTTTCGGGCAGGTCCTTAATCTAAGAAAATTTTAAGGAGGTAAATACTTGCAAAATTTATAGACAAAAAAATGCTAACAGATTACATGGAATGAAAAAAAAAAAAAAAAAAAGATGAGAGAAAATTATAGGTACAGTATATTAAAGCACATAGGTAGCTATGATTGATTGCAATGACAGCTTAAAATGGTAGTTGACAACAAATTGGTAGGCACAATACAGCAGAAACAATATAAGATTGATTGCAATGACAGCTTGAATGGTAGTTGACAAAAATTGGTAGTCACAATACAGCATATGGCTAGCACATAAAAGAAGACAGCAATGAACACAATGATAAGGTTGTTTGATATTACATAAAAATTAGGAGATTGGGTACCACTAGGTACAGAGCAAATTTAAAGCTCAGTGTAGGAAACTAAATAGATGAAGTTAGGTACTTTTTGGTTTTGCTTTTAAATAAGGCAAAAGTTTTACAGTTTTTCAATTCACTAGGGAGTGAGTTCCATAGACTAGGTCCCTTAATTTGCATAGAGTGTTTACACAGATTAAGTTTGACCCTGGGGATATCAAAGAGATATTTATTTCTGGTGTGGTGATAATGGGTCCTATTACATCTGTCCAGGGAGAGTTTCAGAGCATGGTTTGCATTTAAGAACAGGGTTTTGTAAATGTAGTTGACACAAGAGAATGTGTGGAGGGAGTTAATATTTAGCAAGTTTAGAGATTTAAACAAGGGAGCTGAGTGTTGTCTGAAAGCAGAGTTAGTTATTATTCTGATAGCAGATTTTTGCTGTGTGATGATGGGCTTAAGGTGGTTTGCAGTGGTAGACAATGAGACGCTTGTGTTGTCAGCAAGCTACAGAGGGCATCTACAAGGCGCTGTGGGATGGACACACCGCCAGCATCACTGACTGTTACACTTACCGTCATGACATTGCTGCCGGCAAGTACGCCGCCGTCTGTGACAAGATGACCATGAAGAAGGTGAGGCGCTAATACGTGTGACTGACAAGGGTGAAGGTGAGGCGCCTATACGTGTGACTGACAAGAGTGAAGGTGAGGCGCTGAAACGTATATTACTACATATTGGTACTTCCTAGTGGTCCATCACTACATATTAGTACTTCCTGGCGGTCCATCATTAATTATTGGTACTTCCTGGTCATCCATCATTATATATTAGTATTTCCTGGTGGTTCATCACTATATATTGGTACTTTCTGGTGGTCCATCACTACTTATTAGTACTTTATGGTGGTCCAACACAACATATTGGTACTTTCTGATGGTGTACTAAAACTAATTGGTACTTTCTGTTGGTCCATCACTACATATTGGTACTTTAAATGGTCCAGTATTACATTTTGGTACTTCCTGGTGGTCCATCACTACTTATTGATACTTTCTGGTGGTCCATCACTATATAATGGAATTTTTTGTTGGTCAATCACCACTTATTAGTACTTTCTGGTTGTTCATTACTACTTATTGGTACTTTCTGGTGGTCCATCACTACATTTTGGTACTTTCTGGTGGTGCATCACTACATTTTGGTACTCTCTGGTGGTCCATCACTACTTATTGGTACTTTCTGGTGATCCATTATTATTTATTGGTACTCTCTGGTGGTCCATCACTACTTATTGGTACTCTCTGATGGTTCAATACGACTTATTGGTACTCTCCGGTAGTCCATCACTACTTACTGGTACTTTCTGGTGGTCTATTACTACTCATTGGTACTTTCTGGTGTCTATTGCTACTTATTGGTACTTTCTGGTGGTCCATTTATACATATTGGTACTCTCTGGTGGCCCATAACTACATATTGGTACTCTCTGGTGGTTCAACACTCCATATTGGTACTCTCTGGTTGTCCATTGCTCCATATTGGTACTTTCTGGTGGTCCATCACTACATATTGGTACTCTCTGGTGGTCCATCACTACATATTGGTACTCTCTGGTGGTCCATTACTACATATTTGTACTTTCTGGTGGTCCATTACTACATATTTGTACTCTCTGGTGGTACATTACTACATATTGGTACTCTCTGGTGGCCCATTACTACATATTGGTACTCTCTGGTGGTTCATTACTACATATTGGTACTCTCTGGTGGTCCATCACTACATATTGGTACTCTCTGGTGGCCCATTACTACAAATTGGTAATCCATATACATATCTTCAAGATAGTGTGACATCACACTATCATGAAGACTCATTATCACGTTCACTGTATATTCACCAAGCTTAAGTACCTAATGGATTATCATAATACATAATTTACAATTAAATAATTTTTTCAAACATTAACCCCTTATTTCCAGTAATAATTATGCGCAAACCTGAGCCGCAAGTGAATTGAGTCACTTCGTCCTTCTTGATTTAAAATGTAGTGCTTCAAAGGTTCACATTCTAGTTATTTTCCTTTATTATTTTTATTTAATATTCGATATCAATTTCTGGTAGTATTTTAGAATACATTTTGCCAGAGCATCTTTTAAACAAACCTCAATAATGAACAAGAAAACTTAATTTTTACTGTTTAATGAATCAATTCAAATGCCACCTAACTATTAACAAATATAAATACATTAGGTCGTAATTGTCTTCATCCAAAGTAACCAACATTGCTAGCAATTAGAGTTATGTAGAATAAATATTGTTGCAAAGTCTAATTTTTATGTGCTTCCCAGTATGGATCATGGTTGAACTGCTGAGAAAGCTTGCAACGTTCACATTCATTGCATTCCAGGAAGTTTGAATGCCAATAAATCCACTATAAATAATTTGCAAGTCTATATCACCATCTTTTCACGAAAATAATAGCTGCCCTATTTATGATCAAGCAGAATACCCTCCCATATAACCTCCATTAATTTATCACTATTTTAGTTACCTCTTTCACTGCATTTATTTAACTGCTAATTATATTTGATTTTCTCTTCACTTATTTATACAAGTATTTAACTGGTACAGTAAACTGAAAATAATTTTCATTGCTTAAGAGATTTTGCCATTGCTTTAGCACCAGTTGCCAAGTCTCCAAAACGAGAACATTCCATTCCTCACAGTTGTTTGCATGTTAAGTGGTGATTATAATGTAGGTGATGTCGGAGGACTTCAGTGCTACTGGGACATGCAGTTTCTATATGGCGAGGGAAGACTTTATGTCCATGCCCATGGCTCTCGCCTTCAGGCACCGGCACCCCATCTTCCCCAAGGCCAACCAGAGGTGGGTTTCTCCTCATCTACTGTCTGAGATTCACAGTTAATGAAATCTTAGTAAATTAACATATTTACAGTCTGCTGATATCACTAATAAAGAAAGCGGACAACTATTTAATTACTCTCATATTAATGTTATATTTAATAGATTTCTAATTTAGACGAGGTAATCTGAACAAAAACTTAATAAAATATGGCTAATACTACTCTCCATACCTGCGATTATTCATATAAAAATGTAATTTTCAGAATTCTGGAACTTGTTAACAAGGGGCTGGTGGGAGCGTGGATATCAGATCAGCTGCCCAACAGCACAGCGTGCCTGGGCGCCTCCGGGCCCACCTCCCCGCCCGACAAACACCCGCTGGCACTTAAGGACTATTATGGTCTCTTCACTGTTTGTGCGTTCTGTGAGTTCTTTTTTATATGCTGGATAAGTAATCCAGATAAGAAATGTTTATTATACTTACCCCTCTCAGTGAAATTAAGGATATTGTAAATGTTATCGCATGTATTGTCTGAACTGCCCATGTTTTTCTAACCCCATTGTAGCACTATAGAGTTTTTAGTTAAAGAATTGAGTCTAGCATGACAGACGAAATTGATGGTGACAGGACGTCTGCTGCAAGGCACTGAAAATTCACATGACATGTAAGGTTGCACCTTGACCCAAGAGGTTATGTCTGGTTAACATTTAATGGCCCTGCAGTCAGATACTACGACTCGATAATCTCCCTCCGTGCATGTCTCAGTATTTACTGAGTCTGTAAAATCGGGTCTGGGAGTCGTCGTCAGTCCCTGAGGACTGGCTCGATGCTGTTGTCCTCCCTGTTCGGAAACAATGGTCTCTCGAATCATCCTCCAAGGACTTCCTCCCTATTGCCCTCAAGAGTTGCGTCTGTAAGCTCATTGAACGTATGGTTAACGTTCGTTTGATGTGGTTCTTAGAGCACTATCACCACCTCTCCCCTTCTCAATTTGGTTTTCGCAAATGCCGCAGCACAACCGATGTCCTGGTGAACTTGGAGGTCTATATGCTTATAAGAAATTAGAACTAGAGACTGCTATGGGGAGTATATCTTCGCCAGCTTCAGAGTCAAGGGTGCCGAGTCTGTCCTGACTGTGGGTGCAGTTTATAGAATTCCTAACACTGATGTGTCCGAATTCAACTCAAACCTTAGAAATCTAATACTTGATAACGGACTGAACAAAAACCACCTAATTATTGCAGGGGACTTTAATATTGACCTCTGCGAGCCTGAACACCCCACTGCTGTTAGCTTCCTCAACTGTATGAATTCCTGCTTCCTCATACCCTTAATCACTAGACCTACTAGAATCACTGATAGCACTGCCACGACGCTCGATCACATCTGGACAAACATAACCTCTCCGCTTACTTCAGGTATAATCACCGATAGCACTACAGATCATTACCCCACATTTCTCTTAACTAACATTAGCAAACCACCTCTTGAGTCAAGAGTGATACGTTTTAGACTACACAATGATACTGCTATAGACAATTTTATAACTGCTGCTGATAATGTCAACTGGGAGTCCGAGTTAGGTAACATAGTGGACATCAACCTAGCTGTGCAATCTTTTCTTCAAAAAACTCTTAGCCTTTATAATACCCACTGTCCTATGCTTACAAAACAAGTCACAACCAAAAGGCTTAACAATCCCTGGCTTACAAAGGGAATACTTAAATCTATTAATAAAAAACATGACCTTGAGAAGAAGTATAGGTTAGGAATTGTCTCCAAAGAATTCTCAAAGAATTACTCATTATTGCTGTCTAAGATAATTAGACGAGCCAAAACTAAATACTACGAAGATAAATTTTCCCAAATAAAGAGCAACATTAAACAAACTTGGAGAACAATTTCTCAAATATTGGGATCAAAGAAGTCTTTAAATAACAAACCGACTCTCCTGTCTAATAACGATGGTCAGCTTTCAGCCTCTGATTCTGCTATTGAGTTCAATAGGTTCTTCTCTTCCATTGGTTCATCCCTTGCAAATGATATTCCATCTTCCTGTACAGACATTAATGACTATCTTTCAGGTAACTATCCACAGTCTCTGTACCTAAAGCCTATTAATTCCACTGACGTCAATGAGATAATCCTTTCCCTTAAAACCAAGTCTGGTGCCCTTGAGGAGATACCAACTTTAATTTACAAAAAAGCCTCCAGATCTTTAGCCCCTGCTATTGCTTTGCTCTTCAACAAGTCACTTGAACTCCAAACCTTCCCAGATATTCTAAAAAAAGCGAGAGTAACGCCTGTCCACAAATGTGGTAATCTCACAGATGTTAACAACTACAGACCTATATCTATCCTGCCAAACTTGTCAAAAATTTTTGAAAAACTAATCTATAAGCAGCTTTACTCATATCTAGCCAAACTCAATATACTTAGCCCTTGCCAATATGGCTTCAGACCCCAAAAAAGCACTAACGATGCACTTATTAGTATGCTTAACTCGATTCATACAGCTCTTGATAAAAATGAGTTCCCTGTTGGGTTGTTTGTGGACCTGCGTAAAGCTTTTGACACTGTCAACCACCAAAACCTTCTTCTTAAATTACATCATTATGGAGTCAGAGGACACTCCCTACAATACCTCAAATCCTACCTTACTGACAGGCTCCAATATGTTTCTGTGAATAATACAATTTCTCCCACCCTACCCATCAACATTGGTGTTCCCCAGGGCAGCATACTTGGCCCTCTCCTCTTTCTCATCTACATTAATGACCTTCCAAATGCCTCCCAACACCTCAAACCAATTCTATTTGCTGACGACACAACCTTCATTTACTCCAGTCCTGATCCCCTTGCTCTAAATGCCACAGTAAATACTGTGCTAAATAAAGTCCATCTGTGGCTAACTGCCAACAAACTCACCCTTAACATTGACAAAACCTTCTATATTCTGTTTGGCAATAAATCCTCTAATCAAATAAATCTCAAAATAAACAATACCCAAATTTGTAACAAATTAGATGGCAAATTCCTTGGCATTCTCATTGACCACAAGCTTAATTTCCAGGGACACATTCTAAACATATCAAAAAAAGTTTCAAAAACTGTGGGCATTCTTTCTAAGATCAGATATTATGTACCACGCCCTGCCCTGGTGACTCTCTATTACTCCCTTATCTATCCATATCTCAACTATGGTATTTGTGCTTGGGGCTCTACTACCCAAAATCACTTACGTCCTCTAATTACTCAACACAAAGCTGCTATTAGGACAATATCCAATTCTGGCCCCAGACATCACTCGGTACCCATACTTAAATCTCTGAATATGTTAGACATTAAGTCACTGCACATTCTCTCATGTGTATTATACATATATAAAACGCTAAACTATAATGCCAATCCTGATCTCAAAAGCTTCATAGAAGGTTGTATCAGAACCCATGAGCATCACACCAGAAATAAATACAGTTTTGATATTCCTAGAGTACGACTTAATCAAACTAGAAATGCTCTACAAATCAAGGGGCCCAGAATGTGGAATGACCTTCCCAACCATGTTAAAGACTGTACCTCTCTTAACCAGTTTAAGTTAAAAGCGAAGCTATACCTAATAAATTCCCTGTAACCTACCTTACCCTTCTATTGTCAACCAATGTCTGTTTTTTTCTTTAAAGAGCGCTGTTTGTCGACATAATTGTATTTGTGCTGCTTTTTCACCTATGTTTTCATTTCTTGTTTTCATTCTACTCATTATGCTCAATTAGTATTAAGCTTGTCATTTAAGTTTATCATGCCCGAAACGCTTTGCGTAATAGTGGCTTTAGGCATTGTATGTACTAGCTCTGCCTATAAGTCAAACAATCCTTGTAAATATTTATTGTATGTATGTACCTTACCTAAATAAAATTGTATTGTATTGTATTGTATTGTATATTCGTACTGCTTTTGCTGCGAAGACCTCCGTTGTTGCCGACCTTTTTTACCTGGAAAAGGCTTACGACTCTATCTGGCGGTTTCATATTCTGTCTCAACTTCATGCCTTTGGCCTTTGTGGGAATCTCGCTCTCTTCCTCCAAAGATTCCTCTCTCGTCGTTCTTTTCGGGTGAGGCTCGGTACCACTCTCTCTCTCTGCCCCTTTTCGGCAATATGAGGGTGTGCCACAAGGTAGTGTTCTAAGCAATACTCTTTTTCTTGTTGCTCTGAATGGTCTTCTTTCCTCCCTTCTTTCTGGCGTCTTCTCCGCCCTCTATGTAGACGATTTTACCCTTTGCTGTCAGGGTGATGATTCGCCTCTCCTTCAACTTGCGATTGATGCCGTGTCGTCTTGGGCCACCGATCATGGCTTCAAGTTCTCTGCGTCCAAGACTTGTGCTATGACTTTTACCCGGAAGCGTGTCATTCTTTGTCCCTCTTTGTCTCTTTATGGACATCCCCTTGTGTACAAGGATTCCGGGAAACTGCTCTAGCAAGGTTGCAGATTGGCCATACTCGCTTAACTCACGGTCACTTAATGGAGCGCCGCCCTGCTCCTTATTGTCCAAATTGCGTTGTCCCTCTTACAGTTGGGCATATCCTTGTTGATTATCCTGACTTCCAGGACGTGCGTGTGTCTTGCTTTCCGACCATCCCTTGCGGTCACTTGTCCCTCGATAGAATTCTTGGTGAACCTGATACTTTTGATATCGTTCGCCTTATGTGTTTCTGTTCTCGTATTATCATTATCGGTGATATTTAGTGCCCCCTCTCATTATTTCGCACTTTGATGGTGCGAGATAGCCTTCCCGGTTTAGTGCTTTCTTTTGATAATTACTTACTTACTTAACAAAGACAGCACGGTTGAAAGCCAATCCATAAAGTTTATAACATAATGATGATGCTAGATCTACCTTTTTCCCTTCATCCCTTCACATCTCTTTTTACCCCTTATCCTCCTCCTCCTTACTCCTCATTCTTTTCTTCAGTGCCTTATTCTCTTCCTGGACCCAACTATAGTCCCTATATTCGCTTATCATTCCCTTCCCCTTAGATTTTAGCTCCTTTTTATCTATTCCCCCTTATTTCCTTTGGTTCCTTCATCTCCCCTTAACTATCGTTCTCTCTCTCCCTCTCTCTCTCTCTCTTTCTCTCTCCCTTGCTATCATTCCCTACATATGCCTTCTCTCTGCACCCTTAACCACCGCTACAGGCATTAGCTGCACAGAGGACTTACAGCTACAGGTCAAGTCCCTGTAGTTAAAGTCCCAAAAGTTAAGAAATACCAGAAGGCAGAAAACCATAATGTTCAAATTATAACAGTGTGAGAGTTGACACCCTCATAACCCAAATTTATTGCTTTCATAAGTGCTTGCAATCTAACTTTGTTAGTTGATATCTGAAGTGTGTCAGGTAGGATGTCACTGAACTCGTCTCTACGAGAGGAATCATGTGAGGTAAACAATTGTGACCTGGGTCATCGGGATCTGTAGCAATGGAGTCGCAACAACCAACAGATAAAGCTTGGAGTACCAGTACCCTGGGGGTACCCATATGAAGAAAATTATGCTACGCAGTGTGGTGGTTGGTGTGAGAGAATGGCCTCCCCTCACAATGACCACCGCTTGTTCTGTGACCACAAATCCTCCCTTCCCCCTCAGAGAGAGTGTCCCACTATCGGGACACTCTAGGCATGACATCACGATGTGCCGCGATACCGCTACCAATCCGAGGAGTTCACAGGAAAGGCGGGAGAGGCCTATGACTGTGATTAGTCAACAGTTGATGACGTCACAGCATCGTGGAGGTTCCTCGAAGATGCAGGAGAAACCATTCGGGAAAGGAGCGCTCAAGGGAAAGGTGACTGTTTCACAATCTCTGAGACAAGGTCTCTTGGCCCTAGGTCCTGGAATAACAGTTTACCTTAACACCAATAATACACCAGATCTGAATCACTGAGGCATTACAGGTGTTGAGAGGATTTATCTGCATCAGAATGGTACAGGAATTATGACGTTACGGCGATTCAAGGACAAGCCAGCCCACGTGTGTCGTACGCAAGGTGTAGTAATGTGAAATCCCTAAGTTAGGAGTTGCGAATACTTTCAGGGGGAAATTGTTGAGTAATCCGATAAGGCAAACAACACAGTATATCATGTGGGGCTCATAGGGGATTCAAAGTGGTAAGATGTGGAGACGTCAACGTGGAGATTCAGTGGAGGTGATTGTCTATTCTGCAGTGAGAAATCTTTACGGACAATCAAATGTGAAAAGCTTTTGGTGGTAGCGAACAAGTGGTGTTTCGCTATTCAATGGGGACGAGAAGGAGTGAGGAGTACCTCTCTTGCGCGAGGTGTGTGCATTCATAGCCACGCGGCACAGAAAACGGGAAGTTTGGGCGTGCTTGTGTGGGAGAGCGCCAATTAAATTCTCACTAAGTGGGGTTTATTGTATATAATTCTAAGAGACTGTTGAGTGAGGGTAGTAATTTACGCTAGAGCTATTGATGGTCGTGTCAAAGTGATTGACCAGCTGGAGCAGCTAAGTTATCTTCAAGGATTTACCGTCTGTCATCCGGAAAGCTTGAGGTGGAGCTTTATCCAATATTGAAGGATACGATGCTTGGTTCCCTCGCTTAAATGGATAGTCTGCCTGTCACCTGGATCATCATCAGCGACAGCAGAGAATGAGCGTAAATGGTGTGATTGGATGTAAGTACAAAGCCAGAGTTATTATAAGTGTTGTGTGCATATTCATTTTGGTGATCAATAGTCACCTAATCTCGGAATCCATCAGAATGTCTCTCGCAGAAAGCTTGAGATCCAAGGAGTGTGTGGACCTGTTAAACTGTCAGGTCAGAGAGTGACAGCTCTTAACCTCTCGAGGTCATGTCACTAGTGAGTGACCGACGACGTATGTGTGGGTGAACAATATTATCTAACACATTTGAGATATCCGATTGTTTACCATCTGTTATAGGAAGTGTTGAGGGATTGATGACTACGGATGTCTTAGTGACACGTAAGTGGTGTAATTAGTGGTTGTCTTTGTGATAAGTTTATATCAATTTGTGTTATGCTGTGGTGTCAAGTGACACCTTATTACTGTTTAATTTGTGTGATAAATAATAACTAGTATTGTATAATTATTATAATTATTGCAGTGTTGATTATAATTGACTGTTGACTGTCTGTCTGACCACATTATTAAAATAATTAATTGCTTGTTAACTGCCGGTGTGACAGTGTGGATTAACGTAAACTAATTGATTGTTAATTGAGTGATAGTATTGTTAGTTAATTATCTTTGATTGTTGACTGTCGCTGTAACAGTGATTAACGTAAAGTAGTAAAGTAATTGAGTGTTGACTGTCTGAATTACAGAGTGATGTTACGTAAATTGAGTGTTAATTAATTGTGATTTATTGGCTTGGTGACATTGTTAAATTAAAGTAATTACTTATTATTGTGACTAATAAGTAACAATTACTTAATGTTATTGTTATTTAAGTGTGTAAACTTGTTGTGTTGTTGAATTGTTTTGATACTGCCAGTGGCGAGTGCCGTAATTGCCAAAAATGTTCATGAGGTGTTCAATTAGTTCACTTTTTGTTCATTACCAGTTCAGTGGGTCGAGACTGTTATGTCTATGACACCTGTGAGAGTGATGGGAACTGATTCCTGCTGCGAAGTGGTGTTTTGACAGTTGTTGCGGTGACACTCTTGAGTAACTTAACTATTGTAAGTCACTGTGTATTAGTAAGTTGTTGAGTAAGTTAATTCATTTTGTTACACGTTCCTTTGATGTTATTCCTCATTCTGCAGATCTGCCTTCCCCCCATATTTCATCACTTGCTACTTGACTGGACTGTGTCATTAATTTTAGTTGGCTCAGGATACAGCCCATTACCTCTAACACTGAATATAAATTCGGTGTGAGAACCCATCTGCTACCTGCTAGATTTTCTTGCAAACAAGTTGCAGGGAGAACGACCTAAGTGAGGAAGGTCTGGTATTGCTTGTGGAATTGAAGACCGCTCTGGCCTTCACCTTCACCTGAAGTACTTAGATCTTTGTCATATTGCTAACGCCTCCGGAGCGTATTCATGTGTTTGTCAAAGGCAAACACTCGAATTCACATCCCAATTACCAGAAATCTCACATCTGGTACTCGGCGTAGTGCCAGACTTGTGTGGGAAAATTAGTCATTTCACATCTGACGTCCAAAGTGGGTCTAAGAAGTGTATAGGAAAAAAAAATATTTTCACAAAGGGGAAGAAACATGGCGATATGTCAAAACTTTCATATAACTAATGATGTAGGAGGGGGTTAGGGGGTCAGACTTTCCCCAAGGGTCAGGGGGGAAGTCTTACCCCTGACCTAAGTCATATCTTGCCTCGTGTTTTAATATAGCGTCTTGGATGTATTCACCTAGTTGTGCTTGCGGGGATTGAACTCTGCTCTTTCGGCCCGCCTTTCAACTGTCAATCAACTGTTACTAACTACTATTTTTTCCCCCCACAACACACACCCACACCCAGGAAGCAGCCCGTGACAGCTGACTAACTCCCAGGTACCTATTTACTGCTAGGTAATAGGGGCATTATGGTGAAAGAAACTCTGCCCATTGTTTCTCGCCGGCGCCCGGAATCGAACCCGGGACCACAGGATCACGCGTCGAGCGTGCTGTCCGCTCAGCCACCGGCCCCTCCATGTGATTATATGCGATGCTATAATGTTGTTAAATCAGACACGGCATCTTTCTGCCTGAGATCGTTGCTCGCTCAATTTAAGAAATGAGCTTGCTCACTTAAATTAATTATTTTATTTATTTATATATATACACGAAGGTACATTGGGTGTATGAGAGTACAAAACATTGATGTTTTAACATTCTTGTAAAGCCACTAACACGCATAGCGCTTCGGACAGGCCCTTAATCTAACAGATAATTTTAAGTAGGTAATTTGTAGCAAAATTTAAAAATGTTAACAGGTTCCTTGCAAGAAAATTTGACGAAAATTAGTGGTACATTATAGTAAAATTTGAGGCTTATCAATAGGTACATTGAAGCATAATTTGAGGGTTATTTCTATGTACATTGTATTAAAATTTGCGTTCACCATTACAAAATTTATTGTCATAAGATACTGGCAGTGATTAAACGATAATGGTAACTCACTCAAGACATGAGTAACCAGTTTCATTTAAACGTGCTGCTTAAGGCTTGCCAGCCGCTGATGTTTCATGTGCACTAGTATGTTATTTAAAGCGTACCTGCGTCTGACTATACACTGTATACTGTTGGCCAGAGACATACCTTGACCTCATCTGTGTCGTCTACTTCGTGCAGGTATGGTGGGTTGTGTAGCAGTGCTGGGTGTGGAGATGACAATGGCTAGGTTCGCTGAGCGTCGCCGAGCCACCGAGAGGTGATCCCGTTGGACCACCACCACCAGCTCTGGCTAACAGACATGTGACCCCAGTTAGACTACTACTACTACAACCATCACTGCCGCCACCACCACCACCCCCACCACAACCTCCGACGCCACCACCTCCAGCACCACCACAACCGCCACCACAACCTCCACCACCACCTCCGCCACCACCACCTCCAGCACCCAACCCGTTCTCGCACTTGCTTATAGTCAATATCTTGCTTATGAATAAGTGCATATGTGGCATACTAGTTTATTGTAAATATTTGAGTTTACATTGAAAAGCTGAATAGAAAACCACAACCTAACCTAACCTTCTTAGTATGTTAAGATATTACAATTAGTACTGAACCTATACCTATATTGATATTACAGTTTTATAAAGATAATAAAACAACTAAAATATTTAAATAAATTGTAAAGTACCTCAGGATATTGTCAAATTTTGTATAAAATCTCTATTGTTTAATAAAACTGAGAGGAAAAGTTAGTGCCTTGAAAAAAATATGGTTTGGAATATGTCACATATGTACTTATTTATAAGCGAAATATATGACTTATTGCTTATAGTCACTAAGTGCTGTCGTGTGCGAGAGCGGGTTTCCAGCACCACAACTAAGAATTACTGACAGAGTTCCACAGAAGAAGATTCGGCTTCATCGGATCTATTTAACTGCTCAATAAGTGACTAAAAGTGTGCGTCTCTCTCTCTCTCTCTCTGTGAATTTTATGTAAAGAGTTATACCAAGTTTTTTGCACTCCTCTAAGTGCTTTGTCAAGACCTGAGAATGTGGTTAGGAGGTGACTTACATCTCAATGACTAATGAGCACATTAGGGGAATTGGTTGCACGCACTCCGTGGGGTGAGATGGTGGCGCCTGCGCTCTCCCGTCATTGCCAGGCGCTTGTTGTGCGCGGCTGGTTGCTGGTGGTGTGGGGTGGGCCGTGGTGGCAGCTGGCGGAATGGTGTTGTCTTTGGCACAGGTACGGCGGCTGGACTCTGCAGGGATGGAGTTCTCTGGTGTGTTGCCGACTGTTCTCTAGTTGAGGTGATGCTGCTAGATGTGTTGCACGTCGACCTGGTTACCATCTGTGGACTCGATAAGGTCTGGGACCATCGGGTTATCATCAAGTTTACCGCTACCCACAGAGAAATTGTGGACGATTTTGAGGGCTGGGCCATATCGCTGCCTGGGGACACAGTGACTGTTATTGTGTTGGACCAGTGTGTGACGCCCGTCTAGATGAGTGTTCACATGGGTCCCCATCAAATTTCCGGTGGAAGCTCTGCGATCGTGCTTTGGCAGGTTGGGGCCTGTATTGTCCCACAAGGTGAGTGTCCTCCACTCTGCCTCTCCACCCCCCTCCCTGGTAAGTTGTCCTCACCTAGCCTCTACAGCTGGTATGTTGTCCTCACCTAGCCTCTACACTTGGTATGTTGTCCTCACCTAGCCTCTACACTTGGTATGTTGTCCTCACCTAGCCTCTACAGCTGGTATGTTGTCCTCACCTAGCCTCTACACTTGGTATGTTGTCCTCACCTAGCCTCTACACTTGGTATGTTTTCCTCACCTAGCCTCTACAGCTGGTATGTTGTCCTCACCTAGCCTCTACAGCTGGTATGTTGTCCTCACCTAGCCTCTACACTTGGTATGTTGTCCTCACCTAGCCTCTACACTTGGTATGTTTTCCTCACCTAGCCTCTACAGCTGGTATGTTGTCCTCACCTAGCCTCTACAGCTGGTATGTTGTCCTCACTCTTCTGGTAGGTTGAAGGATATTAGGAACGGGGTATGGACCCTGGCAATGTGCTTGACATTTCCAAACCTGCCCCAAGTGCGTTTCCTAGGGTGCCACCTACTTGATTTCTACGGTGACCAACCTCGCACGTTTCCGGTACAGTGAGACCGACTATATTGTGGTGCTGTGCCATGCTCCGCTGACAGGTATTAGGTCCCTGTTTTGTGAGGATGACTTCCCACCTGTGGTGGTCCCGGGACCGCCAAGGCCATGGATACGTTGCCTGCGTGCTCTCAATCTGAAGTGTCTTCTGCTCCGAATGGCCCCTGTTCTGTCTAATCATCCGGTTGTCCTGCCTGTTCCGGAGGTTTCTCCGGGTGAGTTTCCAAGCGCCGTGGAGATGGTGCTTGAGGAGTTTCATCCCGTCCCTGCTGCGGTCGACGTCGAGATGGGGGCTTTGATGGTGGCTGCGCCGACGGATGTGGGTGGAGTCAACATCGTGAAGGCTGTCCCTTGTGCCGTGGATCTGCATTCGTCTATTCCAGTGGCTGGGGTGGTCGCTGCTGCTTCTGAGTCTTCGCGTTCTACCCGTCGAAGTGTGGAATCGTCTGCTCTGAATATCGAGGTCCCTCGTCCTACATGCCGTAAGAGGATGCATGGGTTCGGTCCAGGGAGAGGAGTCCTCCTCTAAAGTTGGTGGAATATATGTTTGGTGATGACTCTGGTTTGGATATGGTGCTCTGGTTACCCCCGTGGGTCCGGTGATGTCTGGGTGGCAGTTGTAATGTGTCTCTATGGGTGGAGTTGGGGTCCCTGCCTCCCAAGGTGGAGGGTTCTGTGTGGGGGTGGTTACCACTGGTGATGGCGACAGAGGTGTCGCAGGTTTAGTTTGCGGCTCCAGAAGAGGTCCTTAACCCAGCCGTCTGGAGCTGGGGGATGGCGTGGATGTTGATGATCTGGCCATGGGTGATGTAACAGGTTGCGAAGCACGGCCGGGGCCTGAGGGGTTAGGGGGGAATCTTGAATATCCCTCCCGATGGCGCCCTCATTGCTTTCCTCATAAATACCATCCTGACGACCAGGTATCTGTTTCGGAGTGATTTTGTTCTGTTAAAGCGCTAATGATATTGTGGGATGTGCTCATATTATTGTGGTGTGTGTTATGTTATGTGCCTGCTGTCATGTTCTTTGTTTTGTTGTGGTACTTTGGTGCCATCTTTTATTGTATTTATGTTGTATTCTTTCGGCATGTAAATTATAAATAAAGAGTTCATTATTTATATTACATGATATATTACCAGCGCTCCTTAGTCGTTGAGATAAATGTCTCGTTCTAACTACATATTCAGACCTTGACAGAGCACTTTTTTTTTTTTTTTTTTTTTTTTTTTACATGCAAGCATGCGTATAATGTACAATAAAAACAGAACAAATATAACATAGAACAAAAGTACAAAGCACACACATGTACAATGACAAAGGAACAAATTAAGAGAAGACCAGCCAGAAGGGCTGACCACAAAACAAAAATGCATATACAAACATAACACAAATATAAACACAGCGTAAGACAAACATAAGGGAAAACCCCAGGACAAAATGCACACAAAACAAGTCTGCTAACACCTCAAACACATACAGAGAGGCGAGAAACATACAAGAATAAGGACAATAACAATAAAGAAAACAGATCCGCCATAACAAACGGAAGGCAAAACATAAAGAGCACACGCCAACAGCCTGAAGGGCACACAATATGACAAACAAGCGCACACGACATCCACAACCGAACACACAAACGCATAGGAACCGCACACCCCCCCACTAGCCATACAAGAAAACCCACAATACAAACCGGAGCACGCAGGAACCGGGAAACAATACCCACCCCACCCACTCACATTACACACCCCACAACCATGCACACCACAGGCAACACAAAATACATAGAAATCACTTGCGAGGAACCTCGTGAGAAATGTACTTCTCTGGGAAAAGATCACGAGGATATTTCGCCTTGTAAGCTTCCCAGACTAGATCTTCAAGGTCAGTAGGGTTTTTGATCCCCCGCTCTCGAGCGGGTATCATAAACTAGGGAACATCTATATCCGGCGGCATCGGCCAACGCCTAAGGTCACTGACGCAAGTCGCATAACGAGGCTGGGGAGCGCCAACCACGCCCTTCGAGGAAGCATATGACACCGGAGAAGCGGACGAGGGTCGCCGAGCCTGCCACGCCTTCGCCATCGGAGCAGGTGCCGGACGCTGAGACGATAGCACTTCCACGGATACCGCAGGAGACACGGAAGGGACTGCAGGAAACGGAAGAGGCGGCAAGACCGCTGCCGAGAAAACTGGTAACGAGGAAGGGGCCACAGAACATCCAGAGAGAGCATCCTTTCTCAACATCACCACCAGGCCACCCTGCTCACCACCAACTACAGCAGGGGGAACCACCGCCCATGAAGAACCGGAGCCATCCGACGCAGGCAACGCACCTGAAGCAGGACCCTCGGACACCGGACCAGAAGTTGAGGCCGAAACGCCGGCACCGGCATCCTCAGGCAAGTCTACCTCTGCCACCACCGTAGTGTGCACCACATCCGGAGCCACTCCACCGTCAACGGAAGGACGACATTCGTCGAAGTCGCCAACTTCAGCCCACGCAGAAGAACGCCGGGAACGCTTAGGCACGGGCCGCACATCATCAGACCCGGAGGCAGACTCAGCGACCCGCGCAGCACCAACCAAGCGAACCGACGCACGGCGCAGCACGGCAGCCTCCTCAACCACACGGGGCACCAGGCCAGGCACAGGAGGGAATGCCGGATCCACCTCAGCTCCCAGCACAGCCGGAACAGACGGCGAGGGCGCAGGGACCGGGACAGACACAGCAGAGGAAGAACTGGAAGACGAGGGGTCCGAGCAAACGGCAGGCGGAAGAGGCTCAGGGACACCAGCCGGAGCACTAGGCGAGGACCCAACCTCCGGAGGAGATGCGGCAACAACAGGGGGCGCAACAGGCGGAGCAACAGCTGCTACAGAGGGCACCTCCTCAGCCGAAGAGACGTCCATACCCACCGAATCATCCCCCACAGGAAGGGGCGGAAAATCCTCCTCACTGAAGAGATTCACTGGTGCAACAGCAGGCGCAGAACAGTCAGCAGCCTGATGGCCCAAAAGACCACAACGATAACACGTCCGCGGCTGACGGGCATAAAACACCCGAACGTTGTACCCCATAAGGCGCACAGAGGACGGAATATCCGCCCGGAGTCTCATGCCCAGGGTGCGAATGTTAGACCTCACACCCTTAAGAGGACAAGAAGACACCACGTTCACTCTCACACTAACAACTGCGCCAAACTGGCCGAAATACCGCCGTAGCAGAGGCTCTGGAAACTCCAAGGGAGCCCCATG